AGGCAACAAAAAAGGGATGACAGCAGAAGAATACATTTAAAAACTTCTTTTACGTCTGAGTCATAATTCATGTTATGTCCCCTACTAAGTTCAAAGTTTCTTCTTCTTCTTGCACAAAGGAAGAGCTCTGTGGAATAACTGTGTTTCAAATCATTCCACTTCAATTGTACTAACAGGTTTTAGAGTTTAAATCGGCGAACAACCTCAGAGTGAACCTTTATCCAAATGACTGCAAGTTGCACACAAAAAGAGCACTTCTCTTTCACCAAGTACCTTTTGTGCTTTAGTGAGCCCCAGTCTCTTTCCTATTCTCCCTCTCTCTCTATCCCCCCCATCTCTTCATGTTTGTCTTTGAAAAAAATATATCCTTTTGTGCAGTAATGAAAGCAGGTATCAGTTAATGACAACTGCTACCCTGGCTTCATAAGGTACACTGGAAATGCAGAGATAAAGCTTCTCTCTTACCTGCATTTAGGCAGGCATGAAGTTCACATTCAGGAGTCAGGAGACTGTAGGATCATCCTGTATCCCTTGCATCCTGTAGCAGTTAAAACCATAATAATAATAATAATAATAATAATAATAATAATAATAATAATAAATTTTGTAGCACAATACTTCTGACCTCATGATCATGGGGGGAAAAAAAACAAAGTATGGATCATCAATGTTGCAATCCCAGGTGACAGCAGAATTGATGAGAAGCCATTTGAAAAGCTTACACAATATGAGGATTTAAAAATTGAACTTCAAAGACAAGCCAGTAAAGGTGGTCCCAGTGGTGATCGGCACACTGGGTGCAGTTCCTAAAAACCTTTGCCTGCACTTTAAAACAATTGGCACTGACAAAAGTACCATCTGTCGGCTCCAAAAGGCCACCCTACATCACATTTGGGAAATGTCTGACGTGTGATCAAATACAAAAGCTAGCATAGTGATCTTGTTTCTGTGTACCAGTCTTGTTGTGCATCTAATAATAATAATAATAATAATAATAATAATAATAATATATTTATAACCTGCCCTATCTCCCCAAAGGGACTCAGTCTTGCTCCTCTTCATCCTTATAGACTTTTTACTAAAGATTTTCTTGTTTCTCTAAAAACTTCAATTTTTTCACATCTACATACATATCTCTTGATATATATGTCTTAAACCACACTCCGGAGCAGCAAGCAGAAGACAACTTACCAAAATGTTTTCCTCCAAACTTCCCCATGACACGCAGTTATTTTTAACATTTTTTTAAAAGAACATTTTGTTTAAAGGAAATACAAATCACCCAATTTTATATATCTGTATATATGTATCTGTACACTCTCAGAACCAGTAAAAGACAACCCACCATAATACCCACTATAATGTTAAACATTCATCATAGGAGGGAGAATGACCTTTCCTGACTCCATCTCATGGGAATGGAGCTATAATAACAACATTAATTTTTTAATTATAGTATTTTATGTAAGAGAAAAACATTAAGGATAACCCAATTTCATATATCTGTAGATGAGCATGTCTAAAATCACTCTGGTGGAACCAATAGAGACAACCCATCAAAATAGTTTCCTCCAAGGTCCCTCATTACACCCATTGTGACTTTAAAAATTTCAAGGGAGAGGTCTAGCCTTTCCCGATACTCTTCCATGGAGTGGTGGATGTGTAATAATATTTTAAATCATATTTTGTTTAAAAGGAAAATATCAGGATCACCCAGTTTTATATATCTGAATGTCCACACACACACCAATATATACCTCTGTGTTGTCTGTCTTGTCATTGTTTAATCAGCACTGAATGTTTGCCGTATATGTGTTTTCTCATCCACCCTGAGTCCCCTTTGGGGTGAGAAGGGCAGAAGGGCAGAATATAAATACTGTAAATAAATAAATGAGTACACTCTGTTGCAACCAGAAGACAACCCACTGAAATGTTTTCCTCCAAATGCCCCTGTAATGCTCACTCTCTATTTTTTTTTAAAGGGGGGGGGGGTAGTTTTCCTAACTTCATCCCATGATGGGTGGGAAGGACTCCATAATTTTTAAAAAATGTTTAAAAGATTGAAAACAAGTGTGGGTAGATATCCTATCCTATATGGCTCCAAGTCTTTGGGCTTCAGCAAATCTGCTATTTGCCAAAAGTATGTGATCCTGTGTTTTACTTTTCCATTTCTGGCCGAATAGTTTAACCATATGAAGATGTGTATGTTTAAAGTCATGCTCTGGTGTAACCAGCAGAAGACAACCCACCAAAAAGTTTTCCTCCGAACTCCTTAATATACCAACTGTTATTTTAAATATTTTAAATATTTATCAAGGGAGGGGGATAACTTTTCCTGACTGCATCCCACGGGGTTAGATCTATAATATGTTTTTTTAAATGTTATTTAAAAGAAAAACTCCATGATCACCCAATTTCATATATCAAATCTATGATACTATATCTGTCATATATGTGTGTGTGTGTGAATCATATCTATCTATCTATACCTATGGCTGGATGGCTCTTTGTCAGGAAGGCTTTGGTTATGTTTTCTTGCCCTGGTGAAGAGAGTTGGACTGGATGGCCTCACAACAGTATTTTCTGTTGGTCATGGAGGTTCTGTGTGGGAAGTTTGGTCCAATTCTCTCATTGGTGGGGTTCAGAATGCTCTTTGATTGCAGGTGAACTATAAATCCCAATAATTACAACTCCCAAATGTCAAGGTTTATTTTCCCCAAACTCCACCAGTGTTCACATTGGGGCATATTGAATATTCATGCAAAGTTTGGTCCAGCTCCCTCATTGTTTGAGTCCACAGTGCTCTCTGAATGTAGGTGAACCACAACTTCAAAACTTAAGTTCAATGCCCAACAAACCCTTCCAGCATTTTTTGTTGATCACGGGAGTTCTGTGTGCCAAGTCTAGTTCAATTCCATCCTTGGTGGAGTTCAGAGTGCTCTTTGATTGCAGGTGAACGATAAATCCCAGTAATTACAACTCCCAAATGTCAAGGTCTGTTTCCCCCAAACTCCACCAGTATTCACATTTGGGCATATTAAATATTTGTGCCAAGTTTGGTCCAGATCCATCATTGTTTGAGTCCACAGTGCTCTCTGGATGTAGGTGAACTACAACTTCAAAACTCAAGGTCAATACCATCAAATCATTCCAGTATTTTCTGTTGGTCATGGGAGTTCTGTGTGCCAAGTTTGGTTCAATTCCACCATTGGTGGAGTTCAGAATGCTCTTTGATGGTAGGTGAACTATAAATCCCAGCAACTACAACTCCTAAGTGACAAAATCAACCCCAAAATCAATTTGGGCGTATTGGGTATTTGTGCCAAATTTGGTCCAGTGAATAAAAATACATCCTACATATTTACATGACAATTCATAACAGTGGCAAAATGATAAGTTATAAAGGTGCAACAAAAATCATTTTATGGTGGGGGGGGGTCAGCACAACACGAGGAACTATGAACCATCTAGGACCTTAAGATCCTGTGGGGAGGCCCTGTTCTCGGTCCCTCCTCCGTCACAAGTGCATCTGGCGGGGAGGAGAGACAGAGCCTTCTCAGCAGTGGCCCCTCAGCTATGGAACGCCTTCCCTAATGATATCAGATCAGCCCCTTCCCTTTTAACATTTTGAAAAAAAAGGCAGGAGGTGGCTTTTTAGAGCAAGCGTTTGCAAATGCAGAGTAAATGACATAGGAATATGGAATGACTAGATCAGGGGTCCTCAAACTAAGGCCCGGGGACCAGATGCGGCCCTCCAAGGTCATTTACCCGGCCCTTGCTCAGGGTCAATCTAAGGCTAAAATGACTTGAATGCACACAACAACAACAACAACAACAACAACAACAATCCTATTTCATCATCCAAAAGCAGGTCCACACTTCCCATTGAAATACTAATAAGTTTATATTTGTTAAAATTGTTCTTCATTTTAATTATGGTATTGTTTTAAAGTGTGGGTTTTTTTTTTTGCACTACAAATAAGATATGTCAATGTGCATAGGAATTCATTCATGCTTTTTTTCAAATTATAATCCGCCCTCCAACAGTTTGAGGGACTGTGACCGGACCCTCTGTTTAAAATGTTTGAGGACCCCTGAACTAGATGACGGAACCGGACAATGTTTTTAACAAGGAGACACTAATGACTTATGCTTTTATTGATGTTGTTATGGTTTTTATTATATGTTAATGTTTTAAATTGTATTTATGGTATTGTGGGCATTGAATTTTGCCCTGTATACCGCCTTGAGTCGCCTTTGGGCTGAGAAAGGCGGTATACAAATACAGTAAGTAAATAAATAAACAAATAAACTGTGTTAAGGGGTCACAGCATTAGGAAGGTTGAGAACCACTGGGTTGAAGGAAGGAAGGAAGGATTTGAGTCGCCTTTGGGCTGAGAAAGGCGGTATATAAATACAGTAAGTAAACAAACAAACTGTGTTAAGGGGTCATGGCATTAGGAAGGTTGAGAACCACTGGCTGGAAGGAAGGAAGGAAGGAAGGAAGGAAGGAAGGAAGGATTTGAGTCGCCTTTGGGCTGAGAAAGGCGGTATATAAATACAGTAAGTAAACAAACAAACAAACAAACAGTGTTAAGGGGTCATGGCATTAGGAAGGTTGAGAACCACTGGCTTGAAGGAAGGATTTGAGTCGCCTTTGGGCTGAGAAAGGCGGTATATAAATACAGTAAGTAAACAAACAAACAAACTGTGTTAAGGGGTCATGGCATTAGGAAGGTTGAGAACCACTGGCTTCAAGGAAGGAAGGAAGGAAAATATCCAGGCGCATAGAATGTGGCTATAATGGTGGAGAGCAGTGCAAACTTCCTTCCGCCCCTTGTTTCTTTCTTCCTTCCTTGTTGGGGAGCCCTTGGCTTTGGGGATCCTCGTCCTGCTCCTCTCTCCCACTGCCTTCTGACTGCCTTTGTGTGTGTAGCCGGCTCTGTCTGTCTGTCCCCCCCCCCCCCCCCCCGCCTAGCCCAGCCTTGAACCTGGCCGCCATCCGGGGCGCCAAAGGCAGCCTAGGCGCCCGGGGCACCTTCCTCCTTCGCCTTTGCTCTGCGAGACAGAGAGGGAGAGTGTGTGCGCGGAGTGTGGCCTGCCTGCCTCCCTCCTTTTCCCTTTCCTCTCTCTCTCTCTCTCCTCCTCCTCCGCCGCCGCTGCCCTTTGATCCCTTGCCTTAGTGTTAGTTAGGGGCCGGGAGACACGCAGGGAGCAGCAGCCATCGCCGTTGCTGCTGCTGCTTCGGAGCCCTCCTCCTCCTCTTCTTCCTCTTGACACCGCCGCATATGAGCCACCCATTAGGTCCCTTCTCCTTCTCCTTCCCATTGAGGAATATCGCGACCGGGGAGCAGCCAGGTGCACGGCCGGAGAAGGAAGGAAAGGAGGAGGAGGAGGAGGAAGAAGAAGAAGGGAAAGGGGGATCGGAGAAGGGAAGAAAGGAAAGGTGGAGGAGGAAGGGCAAAGAGGGGGAGGAAAGGGGGCAGAGGGGAATCCCTGCCTCTCCCTCCTCCCCAAAAGAAGGCGCCCGACCAAGCCAAGGCAGGCACCTTTTGCCCCCTCCTCCAACCTCTCTCTCTCTCTCTCTCTCTCTCTCTTCTTCCTCCTCCTTAACCCGCTCTCCCGTTGAACCGAGGAGGAGAATGTGAAAAGGAGGGGGAGAAAAAATGCCCAGGAGGAAGCAGGAGCAGCCCAAGCGCCTCTCGTCTTCTTCTTCTTCACGTAAGTGCTCCCCCCTTCTCCCCTTCTCTCTCTTTTCTCCAACCCCTTCGGATCCTTTCCTCCCCTCTCTTCTCCAGGCGCCTTCCTCCAGACCCGCTCGTGTCTGTCTTTCTTTCTTTGCTGCCTTCCTTCCTTCCTTTCCCTTTCTAGGGTTACAGAGGTGAAGCCGGACAAAGGCACCCAAAAGCCCTGGGTTCGCCGTCCTCTTTTTTAAGGTCTGAGCCGAGGCAGCCATGTTGGTGATGAACAGCCTTGTGCCCTTTTAATTCCCCCTCCCCCCTCTCTCTCTTTCCTCCTCCTCTTCTGAGAGAGAGAGAGCAACGGAGTGTGTGTCTCCCCCTCTCTCCCTCTCCCTCTCCCCTCCCCTTCCTTCCTTCTTGTGATTGTGCATTTGTGTGTGAGTGTGTGAATGGAGAGAAGGGGGAATACAGAGATAGGGAAGAGGAGGCTCTCTCTCTCTCTCTGCGCCCTGTGTTATTTCAAATGGGGGGGGGGGTTGCTGTGGCGCCTACATAGGTCCGTCTCCGGCTAAAAGGTTGCGGCTCTGGGCTGAGGAGAGAAAGAGGAGGAGGAGGAGGGAGGAGGAGAAAGAGGAGGAGGGCGAGGCGGGGGTTGAGGCGAAGCTCAGGGGCGACGGCGAGGAGAGAGAGAAGGAGCAAGAGAGAGAAAGAGAGACACCCACACAGAAGGGGAAAGGCAGGGAGATGGAGGTCCCTGCAGAGCAGAGCCAAGAGAGGAGGCAGCACTCACTCAGGGCTGCTCCTGCTTCTGCTCCTTCCTGTCGCTTGGAGAGGCAGCCGAGGGTCAAATGGCGAGGCTGAGGCGGCTGCCCTGAGGCCAAGCGCCTTTGCACACAAAAGGCGCACACACAGCGGCAGCCCTTTCCACACCTCACCAGTTCTCGGCTAACTTTTCTTTCTTTTTTTTTTTTTGGAGGAGCGCTCCTTGAAGGAGGAATTGCATCTCTCTCTATATATATATCGAAATATGGGGGGCATCGCTTTGTAGGGACATGCCCTCCACACACACACACACATACACACACATTTGAATTTCAAATCGCCTTGCCTCCCTCCCACCCTCCCTCCTTCCTTCCCTGCCCGCCCTTGGGTTCAGCGTCGGCGCTGAACTGCTTATGTGTCAAAGCCATGGTCGGTCACCTGAAGTTCACCAGCGAGGAGGAGGGAGGCCGAGGGAATGGCGTGTGCCTCAGGAGGGGATTGTGTGTGTGTGTCTCTTTCTCTGTGTGAGGAGAAGGCAGTGGAGAAAGAGGCACTAGATTACAGTGGATACATAGTTTTGGATAGTTGTACAGTTATCTCAGTAAGGGGAAAGGGTCTCCATCCAAGCAATTCTCTCTCTTTGTGAAGAGGAGGCAGTAAATATAGACACACTAGATTACAGTGTATCTCATCTAGATACAGTATAGTTTTGGATAGTTGTACAGTGATCTCTTGTGAGGGGAAAGGGTCTCCATCCAAGCAATTCTGTGTCTCTCTGCTTATGAAGAGGCAGTGAATATAAATACACTAGATTATAGTGTATCTATCTCATCTACATACAGTATAGTTTTGGATAGTTGTACAGTGATCTCAGGGAGGGGAAAGGGTCTCCAACCAAGCAATTCTCTCTTTGTGAAGAGTGGCAGTCAATATAGATACACTAGATTATAGTGTATCTCATCTAGATACAGTATAGTTTTGGATTGTTGTACAGTGATCTCTGTAAAGGGAGAGGGTCTCCACCCAAGCAATTCTCTCTCTCTCTCTCTTTGTGAAGAGGAGGCAGTAAATATAGATACACTATATAGATATAGTGTATCTCATCTAGATACAATATAGTTTTGGATAGTTGTATAGTGATCTCTTGTGAAGGGAAAGGGTCTCCAAGCAATTCTCTCTCTCTCTCTCTCTCTCTCTTTGTGAAGAGGAGGCAGTGAATATAGATACACTACGAGATTATAGTGTATCTATCTCATCTAGATACAGTATAGTTTTGGATAGTTGTACAGTGATCTCAGGGAGGGGAAAGGGTCTCCATCCAAGCAATTCTCTCTCTCTCTCTCTGTTTGTGTAAGGAGGAGGCAGCGAATATAGATACACTAGATTATAGTGTATCTATCTCATCTAGATACAGTATAGTTTTCAATAGTTGTACAGTCACCTCTGTGAGGGGAAAAGGTCTTCATCCAGGCAATTGTCTGTGTGTGTGAGAGAGAGGAGAAGATAGCAGAGACAGATACACTGGATTGTAGTGTATCTAACCTAGATATTATAGTTTTCAGTAGTTGAACAGTGATCTCTGAGAGGGGGAATGGGTCTCCATCCAAACAAATGTGTGTGCCTCTTTCTCTCTGTTTGTGAGGAGGTAATACAGACCTCAGAGGTAGATACACTAGTTCAGTGTTTCTCAACCTTCCTTAGTGCAGTTCCTCATGTTGTGCTAACCCCAAACCATAACATTATTTTCGTTGCTACTTCATAACTGTAAATTTTGCTACTGTTATGAATCGTAATATAGATATCTGATATGCAGGATATATTTTCATTCACTGGACCAAATTTAACACAAATATCCAACACACCCAAATTTGAATACTGGTGGGATTGATTTTGTAGTTGCTAGGATTTATAGTTAACCTACAATCAAAGAGCATTCTGAATTCCACCAATGGTGGAATTGAACCAAATTTGGTACACAGAACTTTCATGACCAACAGAAAATATTGGAAGGGTTTGGTGGGCATTGACCTTGAGTTTGGGAGTTGTAGTTCACCTACCTCCAGAGAGCACAGTGGACTCAAACAATGATGGAGCTGGACCAAACTTGGCATGCATACTCAATATGCCCAAATTTGAACACTGATGGAGTCTGGAGAAAATAGACCTTGGCATTTGGGAGTTGTAGTTGCTGGAATTTATAGTTCACCTACAATCAAAGAGCATTCTGAACCCCATCAACAACAGAATTATACCAAACTTCCTACACGGACTGACAGAAAATACTGTGTTTTCTTATGGTCTTTGGCGACCCCTCTGACACCTCCCTTGTGATCCCCCCCAGAGGTCCCGACCCCAAGGTTGAGAAACATGTCATATTATAGTGTATCTATCTTGCCTAGATACAGCATAATTTTTGATAGATGTACAGTGATCTGTTGTGAGGGGGGAAAGGGTCTCCAAGCGACCCGGCCCCCCTTCTTTCCACTCTCCTTCCACCCCCTTTTCTATTTTACTCACTCACTCTCCCCCTTTTCTGACTCCAATCTCTCCTTTCCGCCCAAATGTACTTTTATCAGCTCACAAAGGGGGAGGGGGAGGCAAAAAAGGGCACTTGCGAGGGCTCCCTCATTGCCACACGCCTCGCTGTGACCCCAGCCTTGGCCCCACATGCTCCGCCATCCTGTTCATAATAGAGTGGAAGGGAGAGGGAGGCATACACACACAGACACAAATATATATATATTCCTCCTTAAAGAGGCTTGTACAATTGAATGTGTGACAGGCTTGCTTCCCTCCCTCACCTCTTTAGGTCACTGATCTTCCCCCCACCATCCCCCCCTCCTCCAAAAGGAAAGAGAAAGGCAATATCTTTCCCCTTGTAAACCTGTAAAAGGCTTTCCCCCCCCCTCTTCCCTCTGCTCTTCCTCCTCTTCTAGGTCACTTATCTATCCTCCACCATTTTTCCCCAAGGCAGAGGGAAAGGATGACAGTAACTTTTCACTGTGAATTTATAAAGGGCTGCCTTCTTTCCCTCTCCCCTCTGCTCTTCCTCCTCTTCTAGGTCACTTGTGTATTCCCCACCATTTTTTTCATGGCAGCTGGAGGGGGAAGACAGTAACTTTTCCTCCTGAAGGTGAAAAGGGCTGCCTTCTTTCACTCTTCCCTCTGCTCTTTTCTTCTAGGTCACTTACGTATACCCTCACCACCATTTTTTCCATGGCAGAGGGAAGGCAGTAACTTTTCCTCCTGAAGGTTAAAGGACTGCCTTCTTCCTGTCTCTTCCATGCTAGCCCTCTTCCTCTGTCACTGATCTATTGCCCCCCCTTCCCCATTTTTTCAAGGTGGAGTGAAAAAGAGAGTAACATTCCCTTGTGAATGTGTAAAAGGGGTTGCCTTCCCTCCCTCACCTATCCTCAGTCTGGATCACTGATCTTTCCCCTCTCCCCATTTTTCCCAAGGCAGAAGGAGGGGCAGAGACAACAACTTTTCCTTGTGTAAATTATTGCCTTCCCTCCTTCTCCCCCCCCCCCTTGGTATTTCTCCTGTTCTAGGTCACTTGTCTCTTCCCCCCATTTTTTCCCCAAGGTGGAGAGAGACAGTAACTTTTCCTTGTGTAAATGATTGCCTTCCCTCCTTCTTCCCCCTGGTATTCCTCCTATTTTAAGTCACTTATCTATTCCCCATTTCCCCCCAAAGTGGAAGGAAACAGTAACTTTTCCTTGTGTAAAGGATTGCCCTCCCTTGTCCCCCCCCTCATTGTTATTCCTGCTCTTCTAGGTCACTTATTTATTCCCCTATTTTTCCCCAAAGGCAGAAGTGGGGGGAGGGGAGATAGTCACTTTCCCTTGTGAGCGTGTAAAAAAAAGGTTTGCCTCCTTCCCTATTTCCTTTTGCTTTTCTTCCTTCTCTAGGTCAGTGATCTATTTCAAGGTGGGAGAGTAAGTTTTCCTTTCAAACTTGTAAAAAGGGGTTGCCTTTCCTCTTGCTTTTACTCCTTCATGTCACTGATCTCCCCCCAGAATGGGTAGAGACAGTAACTTTTCCTTAATGCTTTGTAAATCCCACAATCAAACACAAAAAATGAGGGGAAGGTGCCTTGAAGTTCTTAATGTGTAAACGTGGAGATCAATACCATGAGCGCATGAGATTTTTTCCCCCTAAGATAAACAGTTTTCAAGAGTTTCATTTTAAATAAAGGGCTCTGTGTGTGTGTGTGTGTGAGAGAGAGAGAGAGAGAGAGAGAGAAAGAAAGTCTGGCTGAAGAGTTTGGGAAGCGCC